CCACTGCAGTGCTGGCCAGCCGTGGGGGCCGGGGTGGCGGGGAGGGTGCAGCGGCAGGCACTCGCACCTTCATGCAGCCCCGGAAACCACGGCGCACGGAGACCTTGTCTTCAGACACGCCACCCACGATGATGCTCCTCATTCTCAGCCCGGGAAGCTGGTTTCCGATCTGCACCGTCTCCTGCACAAGAAAAGGGGGAGACTTCCACCATCCGGAAACTTCTGCCTGGGAGGAACGTGCTCAAAGGCTGACACACAGTCTGGCAGGCAGACTCCCCACAGCCTGGGGACATCTGCGCCTCCAGACAGGACCCGGCTCAGCCTGCTTATGGAGAACACAGCTGTCCGTGTGGGACGGGTGGGGTGCAGGAGCCAGGCCAGGGGACACATGTCTGCACCCTGGCCCAGCCCAGATGGGCAGCTGGGGGTGCCACAGGCAACCCTCCCATCTCTGCGATGGGTGCCACTAACGGGCCACTGTTTGCGAAAGCTTGGGAAGCTAGGAAGGTGACAGCGAGTAGAGAACATGTCCACGGTGGCAGGACTCTGGGAAGGTCTCAGCCGGATCCTCAGGCTCAGGAAGACGTGCACGTGGAACACGACAGCTGCTTATTCCCAGAACCAGACGTCAGATGAGTCTGGACTCCAGAAGCACTTAAGAATCACAAGTGGCCCCTCAAGCGTGTGGGTGTCCCGTAAGCACGCCTGGTGTTACCTGGCTGTGAACCCGAGAAACCCGGCGTGGCTCAGCAAGCACTGAGTGCGCCCTGCCGGAGCGCCACCTGCCTATCTCAGGTGGCTGCACCTCGTGGTGTCCCACAGCCCCCTTCTGGGGCCTGAGTGCTACTGCTCACCCACCCGTATCCTACTCTGTACCCCAGAGCCCTGAGTGTGCAACTGTGGCTCAAGACAGCTTTGCTAAAAGAAACTGTGACGGTGGGACACACAGATGGACCAAGACCAGTTCCTGGCTCCGGGAGCTGACATCCAGAAAGGGGGTGAGGTGCGGACTCTGGTGACCTCAGCATAAGGAGGAACAGGAGGCCCAAGTTCAGGGGGGCCCAGGAAGCACTTCCCCAAATCCACACGGGCCTGGCGGGTCCTGGCACACGGAGGGGCCCCTCCGTTCTCCCACAGGCCCAGTGGAGGGGTCTCTTCTGAAGAGGGTACAGGCGCCAGCTCACCTGGTCCATGCCATAGTCCAAGGTCATGACTGCCAGGTACTTGATGTCTTTGCCCTCCTTGGCGCTCTTCAGTTCTACCAACAGGTGGTGCCACGCCCCATCGGTCACGCGTGACCTGGACAGTCGCATGGACACCACATCAGAGGGGCCGTGGGACACCTCAAACTGGACATAGTTGTTCAGGATCTGTAGGACAGGGAGAGCTACACTGGTGACTGAGGTGATGACAACAAAATAAAATAACAAAGCCATGCAAACAGACGCACTGGATCAAAACGGACCTAAAAATTAGGCAAAGTTTGATTTGTGGCTGTTGGCTGTAACACTCCTCAGAATTACATGCCTGTGGGGGGAGGGTAATAGCTCAGTGGTACAGCAGATGCTTAGCATGTACGAGGTCCTGGGTTCAGTCCCCAGTATCTCCATTAAAAAAAATTACATGCCTTTTTCTACGGTAAGAAGTGTCAAACGGTGACAGAGTTCAAGTCAGATGAAGCCCATTAGACTTGAGTATGTGGAACAACCACAGATTCAGGTGACTGTATTAAGCTCTTATTTGGGGTATGAATGTCACACTTTATGAGACAAGATTCAGGCCACCATGTTCAGATATATGTATGAAAAAAACAAAAATCAGCATAGCAACTGGCCTAAGATGTTCTTGCTTTAAGAAAATGTAACCAGGGCAATGCTGAGATCACGTCTCCCTTTCTCCAGTGGAGGCCTGGGTAGTTTGGACCAACCCTCCTCCTGAGAACACCTAGAAAAATGAGACAAAATGTTGCAGCCCACCTGTCTAAGGCATCAGAGTGACTCAAGTCACTGCAAGTTAGAAAATAGAAATCTGCAGAAAGGAGCTTAGGGCTTTGCCATACAATTGTCAGCTGGTTCTGGAAGGCACAGCTGAGACTGAAAGATGAGCAAAGCTTTCTCGGCTCATGGTGCTGGGAGGATAGAAACTGGAATTCAGAGCTTGCCCAGGGTGGGAGCTGCCAACCAGAAGCAGACATGAGGGATAATGACACCATCATCCTAGTTTCGAATTCTCTCTAGTTTTTCTACATGATGTCCAGCACTCAATCAAAAATAACCAAGTACCTGAGGAGACAAGAAAGCATACTTGAAACAGACCCATGGGAATCCAGACCATAGAATCATCAGACACAGACCTGAAAATAATCATGGGAACCATAGACCTTTCAATGAAACAGATTCAGGTGACCAATATTTCTGGATGTAAATGTTCCATTTCATGAGATAAGATTCAAGCTACCATGTTTAAATACATGTGAGAAATGTGAAAAAACAGCATTGCAACTAACCTAAGATACTCATGTTAATAGATAACTTCAGGGGGGAAGGTATAGCTCAGTGGTAGAGTGTGTGCCTAGCATGCATGAGGCCCAGGGTTCAGTCCCCAGTACTGCCATTTAAAATCAATCAATCAATCAATCAACCTGATTACCTCCCCTCACTAAATAAATAAATAAAAATTTAAAAAATTTTTAAAGAAGAAAAAAGATAACTTCAATGAAAAGAGCAGATTTAAAAAAAACTATTAGTGTACTGCTTAAAAGAGAGGCACCTGAAATATAACAAAACAGAAACATTGAAAGAAAAAAGATAGAAAAAGATAAACACCAACAAAAAGCTGGTGTAGCTATATTAATATGAGACAAACTAGACTTTGAGGCAAAAATAAGTACTAAAGATAAAGAGGACTTTTGTCATGATAACAGAGTCAATATTCCAGAAAAATAAAACAACTCTAAATTTGTATGTGCCTAATAACATAGCCTCAAAATCTACAAAGCAAAAATTGACAGATATAAAGGAAGAGATAAAGCCACAATCAAGACTGGAGATTTTTAACTCACTTCTCTCAGTAACTGAGCAAACAGACAAAAAAAAAAATCAACGATCCAGAAGATTTGAATGCCACGCGAACAAACATCACCTGCTTGACATATATCGAACACCACAGGACACAACTGCAGGGCATACATTCTTTCCAAGTACAGGTGGGACATTCACATAAAAGACTAAATGCTGGGCTGTAAAGCAAGTCTCAACACATCTCACAGGTCTGAAATCATACAGGGTACCATTCTCTGACCTACAATTATGCTAGAAACAATAATAAAATGATTTACCAGAAAATGCCACCTGTTTGCTAATTGAAAAATATACTTGTAAATGCCTGATGGGTCAAAGAAGAAATCATGATGGAAAACAGAAAATATATTTAACTGATTATACAGATAATGCAACTAATAATGTACTTTGATTTTCAGTATGAATCGATAGTTGAAGAAGGTAATTTTTCACCTTTGTACATTTTGTTTCCTTTCGTTCCCCAGAAGTCTAAGTCAACTCATTACCTTTCCTCGCCGTTCCATTCTCTTTCACTGTCCTTGCTAACAAAACCCCACAGCCAGCAGATCAACAATGAGGTGACGGATGTCTCCAAACAAAAGCAGTGCCTGCGGAACGATCCCAGGACGGTGGCAGTACCTGCCACCTGTGATCTGTCACCGGATTTAACAGCAGCCAGCTTATCCCACTTGACAATGCAGGTGGACGTAGGGCGCCTGAGAGCAATTTCCCAAATTGCTTGGGCTGGAGGATGAGCCTGTGGCTTGTGTGGCCTGCCGTGGAGGCCAGGAACACCTCGACTGCTGCCCCAGAGCTCGCGGGCCCGTGGGAGGCCTGCATTCCACACGCATCGTGTGGGAATAACCCGGAACACTCCTGCAACCCTGGCTGGCCAGCCTGTGGGAACTGCCCTGGGGCGGCCTTCTGGGTGGCCACTGGGGTCTGGAGGATCCTCCCAAGGTCACCACTCCTGCCACCCAGCCTTCCTCAGGGAGGGGCTGGCCATAGTCCCTGGCAAAAAAACTTCATTTTTGGGTTAGCTACCCATAACGCAATTACTCAAACAATACGGGAGTTTGTGGCTTCTGGGGCTGTTCCTGCGGACAGCGTACTTTTTCCTACAGAGACCCCACTGCCAAATGACAACTGCCACATTCTAATTCATCACCTCAATCAGCCAATTTAATTTGCCCCAACGGTGAAACACCACAGAGGAAAACACCACCCCAGGCAGAGCTGCGCTTGCCAAGTGCTGGCCAGAGCCAGCTCCAGGGCCGCCTGGTAAACTCGTAAAATTGCTGGTTAATAAGGGAAAGACAATGACAGCTGTAATTATCCCGGACTCACAAACCGCCTTCAGTGTGACCTGAGCGAGCCTGTGCTGGAAACAATCCTCAACGGTGACTCGGAGAGGGGACAGGTGGAGGTGAGGGACACGTGGGAGGTGGGGGGACAGGAGCGAGGTGGGGAGGCGGGTGGGAGGTGGGGGACAGGTGGGCGCAGAGAAGGAGACACCCCCAGGCTCTGAGCCCCCAGTCCCTGCCGGAGCAGAGTCAGTCAGGCCTCTCTGGGACCCTGTCTTGATCTGTGAGTCTGCAGCCTCCCAACCTGCTCGCCGGGAGCCCTCGGAGTCCTGCCCCGCTGACTCCTGACAGTGCGCTCACGGGGCGTGGGCAGTGCTCTGTCCCCTCCCTGTCCGGTCCTGTCACATGGAAGCATTTCCAGATGCACAGCCCACAGGGACGACGGGAGAGGGTCCTGTGGACACGGCAGGACCTGGGCGACGATGAGCCAGGGGACCTGGAGCTCGGAGTTTCTGGCTTCACAAGGGATTGCACCCCTGACCGTCTGGCCCAGCGCAGCCTCCCTGTCTGGGAATGGAGTCCACTCTGCGCTGGCCAGAGCACCAGGTCAGTCCCAGGGCCCCGGGGAGAGAAGAGATGGCACACAGCTCGGTGCGGACACAGGGCTACAGCAGAGGGGACCGGAGCTAGCTCTGGGAGGAACTTTCTGATGGTGGGAGCCCATCCACCTGAAGCAGGTGGTCCTGGGATGACAGTGGCAGGTTCCAGTGAGGCCTGGCCCGGAGGCAAAAGAGGAGGCGGGCAGAGGGGCAGAACGTCCCGGGGGTGAAGGGTGCAGGGAGGGGCCAGGGGCCGCGCTGGCTGAAGACGACAAACGGCCTGCGAAGGAAGCCTGCCCTGCTCCCCGAGACGGTGTGCGCACAGGTCCGCCGAGTCCACGCGGTCACGGACATATGTGTACACACACACACACACACACACACACACACACACACACACACACACAGACTTGCAGGAAAGCCTGAAGGAAAGATAGGAAAAACAGCCCAGGGATGGAATCCTGCAAACCAAGACAGGGCGTCCTGCTTGGGCAAGACTCCCACAGGCCACTGCTGCATCCGGGGGCGGGTTAGGGGACAAGCCCATCTGAGAAGAGTCATCAGTGGACTTCCCAGGAGGGAGAACCCTCTGGTGTGGCTTCCTGGATCAGAGCGGGCAGCGTTCACACAGAAACATCCCGTCTGTGGTCACTGCCTGGAGACGTGAGGACAGAGGACCAGCTCTCGGCGCAGGGCCTGGCCGGGCAAGCCTGCACCCACGCCTGGGAGGTCCCCGCCTGTGTTCGTGAAACCGCACCTCCTGGACCCTCCAGCATCTCAGGACCCCAGGCTGACAGCGAGGGCAGGAATTCCTCCAATTGCCTCCAGCGAGGACAGCGGGAGGTGGGGGGCAGCCTGATGGAAGACCTGGCGTGGGTCACAAATCAAAGTAGCACACTTACTTCCTCAAATGAAATGCCTGCAAGCTGGGAAGGGGCAAGGGGAGACCGGCTGGGACAGAAGAGAAACCCGGATAGAGAGCACCAGAATAAGCCCGTGCAACCCGCAGGAACTCCGCTCTCACGCAGCGTCTTCAACACACGGAACCGCAGAGACCAGAGAGGAGAACACACGCATGGTGATGCGATTTTAGGAAGATTTTTAGGAAACTTGTAGCTGAGCATGACCTCTGGGCAATACGGGCACAGGAGCAGGAATCTCCACCGGTCGGCGAGGCCTGCTGTTCCCACCCGGAGGTGCTCACCACCCCACCGCCCGGAGGCCGGGGCTGCCGCCCGCAGCACAGCAGGGCTGAGGTTCGCTGCGGAGGAGCGGGGCCCCCAGCCCGCCCAGCCCCGAACTTACTCCATCTCTGGGAGTAAAGGAGAGAGAAGTGAGAGGCTCGGGGGGGCCAGGCTCCCGTGTGGCACTCTGCTTGCTTCACTCAGGTGCACACCTGCCGTGCAGGTGCCCGGGGTGGGACGTGGATCTCGCTCACCTGGAGATGGAGCCTGGAGGACACGCCCGCCGTGGCCTCCAGCAGCACGCCGTCCTCCTTTCTGGTCCGGAACATGAGCCCCAGGTACCAGGGAACGGAGATGGTGACGTCCAGGTCGCTCCAGGACACGACACTCTCCCCGCTGAAGCGCTGGGGGTGGGGCATGACTGTGGGCACAGACGCCGAGACCGCTCAGAGTCACACGGGCCCCTGAGAGTCCTCCTCAGCTGCAGGGGAGGGGGGCAGGCTCCCGGGGAGGGGGGCAGGCTCCCGGGGAGGGGACGGAAGGAACCCTGGGCCTTTGTCATCTGAATGCAAAGGAGGGTCTCAGGCTTCCACTGGTGGGCGCTAGCTCTCTGAATCCAGGAGCCACAGCTCTGCAGAAGCCCACACCCCCCAGGACACTGGCCACCCTCCTGGGGAGTGAGGCTGAGGCCTGGGGGGTCTCAACCACAGCCAGTGTACGGTCAGGGGCTCTTAGGCTGGGTGGCAGGCAGAGTGGGACACCTCAGGAGACTGGGGTGCTGGGGGGCCCTGTGAGCCCAGCCTATCTGTCCCAGCCCACACCTGCTGGGCTGAGGGCCCTGGGGCCTGGCAGGGGCTGTTCTGAGCGCCATCCCCCAGTGGGACAGGGTGAGGCGGCTGTGCACCCTGCACACGCACCTCAACCCTGCAGCCTGACTGGCCTCAGCTGGTGTCTGGGGTGAATTTGCAACCCCCAGGCTCATGGGCCACTGTTTCTCTGCTCCTGGTGATGGCACAGAGATGGAAAGGCTGCTGGAGGCTCCCAGATGGTTTGGGGGGAACAGGGAAGTGGCAATGGGGGGATCTGCAGCCTCAACCAGTCTGTCACACTTGGAAAAGGCCTGGGTGCCAGACAGACCCGCAGGCAGGCCTGATGCTGAGTCAAACTAGCTTCCTCATTTTGCCTCCAGACACCTGCGCATCGCAGGCAGCTGTCCACCCCAGGACCTCACCCTAATCGCTCCAGATGAGACTGCACGGTCATCACAACGAGGTGTGAGAGGCCAGACCAGCAGCACAGGGCATGCCAGGTGGGGCTGCCTTCGGGGGCAACAGCCTTGTGAGCACCAGGCATCTGTTTCCTGCTCTTAGGAGCCCAGACCTGTTTTTCCTGGCACTGTCGAAGCCGGACCTGGGGCCTCCATAACAGGAACCCGGGGGCATGGGCAGCCCCGCCGGCACTGTGTCCACCCAGGCGTGCCGCCCCTCCCTGTGACCCGAGCTTCCTGCACATGGTGGTCAGCCGGGGCTGGGCCTGACCAGTCCACAGGGCCCGGATGAGCCCGCCCACCTGCTGCCCAGAAAACAGAACTTCATGCCTTGAAAGTGCACGGTGCTTTGTACACAAAGAATCAGGCCCTGCCCGGTAAGTCCGCCCCGACAGGGATCGTGGCTATAACACAGTTCCATGTCACGTGCCTCGGCCCCGGCAGTAACAGCCCTGGGCAGGGTGGACTGCCTGGCGCAGGTGAGCCCCGCCTGCTGGCTCCACCCCGTCCCTCTGCCCCGACCCAACGCTGCTCTCCTCCAGAACATTCTGTCCCAGTTCCCACCTATTTCTGCTTCATCGACTCCTTTGAGAATCGGAGGAAAGTCGTGGACACCATCCCCCTAAAAGAGTCACACTGGAACCCCCAGCCCACCCCGTGGGGCGAGGGGCCGCGGTGAGGGGCGTCTGACTTCTACAGAGAGGCCGTGGGCTGGGGCCAGAGGGCGGCTCCAGGCAGCACTTCTCCTGGCCATCAACTTGCTACTGAGCTCCGGGCATCTCCAAGGCGGATCCAGGGAGCACGCCCAAGCTTATCTGGCTTCGATCTACCCCTTTTGGCTTACCTTAAACTTAAAGAGCGTCAATGATTTTTAAAATGATGACTCTTATTTAACACTGCATTGCTTCAAAAGGAGCGAACTGTTTAAAACCTGCCAGAGTCTATAACTGCAAGGGCGGGGCTGGGGAGAGGCCCTGCCTTTGATGCCCACAACACGGTCCAGCAGGGAAGCAGCCAGCTGGAGGAACCCCCGGGGCGGTGAGAAGGGGCATGGGGGTGTCGGGCCTGGGAACCTGCCCCTTCAGGCCTCGGGGTGCCTGTGAAGCTGGCTGCCGCCACCAAGAGACCCAGCCAGGCCCCACCTCCCTTCTCTGACCCTCCTGAGCTCCCAACGTCACGCTGGCCCTGCTCAGACAGGGTGCTGTGTCCTGCACACCCATCCTGGAGCCCCCAACCCCGCTCCAACATCCCCCGCCCTGGTGCCCCCAGGAACCTTCTTAGCCTCACCCCAGCCCAGGTCCTGTGCCTGCTCCCACTCGCCACCGGACCCAGGCCTGGGGACACACGTGCCCTTGGAGGCTGCGGGCCCTGGCAGTTAAGGCCCACCCGAGTGGCCCCGGCCCTGACGCCAGGCCTCACCTTGCTCACAGTTCTTCCCGCCAAAGCGGAGCGGGCACTCACAGACATACGTGTTCCAGCCGCTGACACAGGTGCCCCCGTTCTGACACCAGCTCCCCTCGCAGAAGTTCCTCTGGGCAGTGCAGCCTGGAAACAGCGTGCGTGGCATGGTCCCGGTGCGGGGAACAGGGGCAGGTGGGGGTGCGGGGCACTGCCACTGTGTCCTAGCACCCACGCTGTGGGAAACGTGCCCGGTGGACACAGCGGGAGGGCAGGCAGGCAGGCCCGGGACCCCCGGAGCATCAGAACATGAGACCTGAACTTGCACGAGGCGTGCTGCCCACGTCCAGAGACTCTGGGGCTCCGGGCCATCCACCAGCTGCCCAGGCCATCTGGTGACCTGCTCAAGGCCATGGGACCGAGTGACCAGGTCCGGCCGGGCCCGCCCACAGCTTCACCACCACCCAGCAGGACCCCAGACACAAGAGCAGCTGGGCGCACATGGGCTTGGCCCCAGGAAGTCACTGCCCAGGACGTGGAGGCGGCCCTCCCGCGCGGCCGCCGCAGCCCCCACAGCCCCCACAGCCCCCCCGCAGCCCTGGTGGGTGGCCCTGCCTTACCTGCCCTGGTGCCATTGTTGGCAATGAAGCTGGCCATGTCCACCTTCCTGCCGTCAATGGACAGGTTCCGCATGCAGCCCACAAACTGCCGGTTGTGCACGGGGAAGTCCTCGGGCAGGTTGGGGACGCCCCCCAGGAGCAGAGGGCCCGTCAGATCCAGGGACCTGTGGAGGCAGCACCACCCTCTGTGATGGCCGGGTGGGGAGGGGCGGCCTGACCCCACGGGGGCCTCTGCCGCTGGGCACGCTCGCCGTCTGAGCAGATGGAGGCCAGGCAGGCAGGTGGCCGGCAGGTCCGAACACACCCGGCAGATCCCACTCCTGGTGCCACCACTGGTTTCCCCCAGCTTGCGCCAGAGCCTGACAAACTGGACGTCCCGGGCGGCTGCCCCCGAGTCCTGCCCGCTGGCTGAGCCAGTCCACACGGGAACGGGACGTACAGAGCCAGTGGCGCCACATTCCCCTGGCCTCTAATGACCTGCAAGGGAGGTCACAGCAAACCAGGACCCTGGATCTGTAGGAGCAGCCGCGTGGCTTCGGGCAGGGGCCGAGCGGCTCCAGGCCCAGCTGTCTTATCAGCAGGACGGGCGTGGTCCCACCTCCATCTCAGCTGGGGGATCCGACCAAACAGGCCTATTTCCCACCCAGTGCTCAGGGTGGACCAGGCTCATCGGACTGCGGTCTCCCAAAAGCTTATTAAATATCCCACCAAAACACAATCAAGAATGACTCGAACAAGAACCTTCGCTCTGAGGTTTGAAGCTGGTGTTACAAAAATAGAAACACGGCAATGGCCACTGAGGTCCATGTCAGCACCTCTCTGCCCTGAGTTAGGATGGGCCCCAGGGGACCTCTGGGCCAGAGGGTGACACGGCCACTGTGATAATGGAGGGAGGTCGCTGACTCAATGCTGAGTCATGGGGACCAGTACTTACGAGGACAAAGTCAGGGATGCATGGAGACAGGCCTGGGGATGGGTGGCTTCCAGGGCCAGCAAGCTGGCCATCACATCCCTGGGGCTGGCCTGTCCACACTTTGGCAGTTGTGTCAAAGGGGACTTATTCTAGAAAGTTCTACTGTGTTGGAGGAAAGGGGACAGAATCTGACTCCAGGCAGATTGGGGCCACCGGGGTGCTGGGCCCAGAGTGCCACGTCGGGGACCCGCCCAGTGGAACCCCTTTTGGAGCAGTGGCTGTGGCGGGTGGACACGAGGGCCTCCCTTCCCGGGACACTCACTTCTTGGAGCCGCTCTGAGTGCCCTGGGCTGCACAGCTGTAGTTGCCGACAAAGCTGCCAAAGCGCACGGCCACGGCCGTGTCACAGTCATCCACGGTCACCACCGCCACCTTCTCTCCGGACGGCCCGTGGGGCAGGCCCAGGCGGCCGATGTGGGGCTGTGGGAGAGAACGCACCAGAGGCGTCAGCGGGTTCTCCAGCCCCAGCACACGCCCGCGCCCCGCCGGGGAGGAGGACACGTGTGGGGAGGAGCCCCCGGCCTCGTGGTCAGTTAGTCCCTGAACCAGCTGTACTGGGTCAACAGTGACGCCTCCAAGTTTATGTTTCTTCCCAGACCAGAACGTGACCTTATTTGGAAATAGGGTTTTGCAGGTGTAACTGGTTAGGGTGAGGTCATACCACGTAGCAGGGTGAACCCTTATCCAGCGTGACCGCTGTCCTTGTAAGACACAGAGACAGAGACACACAGGAAGGGTGTCGTGTGACAGCGGAGGCGGAGAGGATGCCCTGCAGTGATGCGGGCACAGGCACCAGCCAGGGGGCACCCAGGACCCGGCACCCCCAGCGTCTGGAGGAGATAAGGAGGACCCTTCCCTAGAGCCCGCGGGCAGCGAAGCCCTGCAGACTCCTCGGTTTCAGACTTCCAGCCTCCAGAGCTGGAGGGGAATACATTTCTGTTGTTGCAAGCCCCCCCCCATTTGTGGTATTTGTTAACAGCAGCCAACACCAAAGCCCTGGGACCCTCCTGAATGTCAGAGTCTGCCTAAGAGTCCAAGCGACGGCTGGACCCGCATCCACACCCCTCCTGCCCAGGTCCCTGCTCACCCCTCTGGGTGCTCCTGGATGCAGGTGCCCCCCGGCCCCCATATAGCATGAGGCTCCCAGTCCTGGCCAGGAGGCAGGGGACCGCAGGCGCTCACGTCACGCCTGGGCTCACGCCTTTCCTCACCCTGGAATGACCTGCCAGTACCTTCTGCTGGTCCGGAGTCCCCAGCCCCACCCTCCCTCCCCGCTCCCCTCTGCGGCCATCCCCGCGGTTCTCAAACACTTTGTCTCCCTGCCCAGGGCTGGTTGTAAGAACTCCTGTGGAATCAGTGACAGGGCACACCCTGCTCACTTCTGGAAGAAGGGTCCCTTCTCGAGGAGGCTGTGCTTGGCGTCCAGTGACAACCCTCCCAGCAAGGCAGCCCCACCCGTCTCTGGGCGTCTCTCGCGGGTCTCTGGGCTGCCCTGGGGGACACCGAGCACGTTCCCCCCGACAGCCCTCAAGCTCTTTCCAGCAGGAGACAGGGAGACTGCTCATGCAGCCACGTCACGTGGGACCGCTGCAACGTTCCGGAAACATGGTGGGCAGGCTCGGGCTCGGCCAGGCCACCGAACTTCCTTCCCCACCTGTACAGCCTGGATGACAAGACCCGCATTCTGTGACAGGCTCGTGGGTTAGCCCAGATGACAAGCGCAAAGTGTCACCAAGCCTCACCATCAGCACGTGACACCCAGTGGCACCTTCTTCCTCCAAGAGAACGTTTTCTCCCAGTCCCAGAAGGGCCCTCCCATCACCCCTAAAAACAAGGGCTCAGAGCCTCCACTTCATAGCTCTGGGGTCAGTTTGAGTTTATAACTTGATGCAATTTTATGCTTCTCTATAATATTGGAAATAGGTAGTTGTAAAAACGTTGAGAATTTAATTAAATCACCCTTGATGTCTTTTAGTAGGAAAATAACAACTACACAGTTTATTCCAAATCTTCCATTTTTAATAAGAACAATGATTTATCCATTCGACTGAGGACACTGGGCTGAAAGGCAGGACATAGAGTTTCTGGTAGCATGAATTCAGCCAGGTAGCCAAGCTGTGCGACTCCAAGAAGTCTCATTCACCCTGGTGGTCCCCCTTGGAGTCGTGCAGTGCACAGCCTGCACAACTGTACGTGGCAACCCCAGCTGAGCCTTCTGCTCCCCCTTGGCCAACCATGTGACCTGGACAAGGCCCATTACTATACCTCAGTTTTTCTGGCTACAAGATAAGGATTTAATATTAGAATATCAATGTTCACCGTGTTACAGGGACTTTGAGGCTCACATCAACATAAAACACAGAAGTCTCCCCTCGAATCCTTCTTAGGTAAATCCAAGGGAGAAGGCTTTTACCACGCCACCTGATATGGTAGTCCACAGAAAATCCTTTTCATTTTCTTTTACGTCAGTCGATGAGATCACAAAGTCGGCTAAGCTATATCCTTAAAGACTTCACCTTCAGTTAAGCAACAGTTAGATAAGTATAAGAAATAATCTGTTTTCTTGCTCTGTAATAGCAGCCCGTGTTACAGAACACGTACAAGTGCCTATTACGAGATGCTTAACTATTAGGTGCGATCCTGGGGAAAGAACCGTCCCCTAGCTGTGCGAGCCCCGTGTTATCTTTACAAGTTATAATTTACATTTTTGGGGATGGGTGTGAGACTTCCAGAGGGAGGACGAAAACAGCACTTATGTTTGGGAAGCTCTAATGAGATGCAGCTGCTGTTTACAGAACTGCAATTGTTGTAAATAGCTGCTCATCACCCACGGCCCAGCGCCACGGGATTCAAGCAGAAGCAGCGGGAGGAAGAAAACTGGAGGCGAAAGGCAAGAGTCAGCGTCCATGCTTAGAGCAGCACTTGCTGACGTGAGCCAGCCCCCTGGTGAGACAGAGTTCAGAGTCTGGCGTTAGCTAATTAAAGCAGCGAGCGTGACTTTCAGGAAGACAAGCATCACCCAGCACCTGCTTCTTGGTTCCTACTCCCAGACCCACCAGCCACTGGGTCCAAAGAGACGGACGGCCCTTTGGCCTTCAGAACCAAGCATCCTCAGAGTAAGAACTGAAAGCACGAGCAGGAGGGACGCACAGTGCGGTATCAGGGAGAAGCCACGCATCTGAGGGCCGGCTCCCAGCTCCACAGCATCCAGATGCCCCCACCCCTGCTCACACCACCCCAGAACCAGCAGAACCCTGGCCAGTCTGCCCCACACACATGCCAACTATCCACGTACAGTCAGTGTCACCAACAGAACATAAAAGCACAGAAAGCAGCCATGGGCAACAGGAAACAATGCTGCAGGTGACTCAGGATACAGGGATGGGGGGTCCTCAGAGGGTTCAGCAGAGACACCACCTGACCTACAACCCTACCTGCTCCCAGGTATAGACCCAAGAGAACCGAACACAGGGACTCAGGCAAAAACTTGTTCACAAATGCTCATAGCAGCACTGTTCACAATAGCTGAAAGGCAAAATACCCCCAGAGTCCCTCAACAGGTGAATGGATAAACAGAATGTGGTATATCCATTCAATGGAATATTATTCAGCCACAAAAAGGAACAAAACACTGACACACACACTACAATGTGGATGAACCACCAAAACATCACGCCCAGGGAAAGACGCCTGTCACAAAACGTCACATGTTGTACAACCCAATTTGCAGAAAATGTCCAGAACAAGCAAATTCATAGACAGAAAGTAGATTAGTGATTTCCGTGAGCTGAGGTGGCAGGGGAATTGGGAGTGACTGCAAGAGGTTCCATTTAGGGTGATGAAAATATTTCAGAGCTAGAGAGACGTGGTGTTTGTGCAACATGGGGAATGCACTCAATGCCACTGAACCGTTCACTTTAAATGGTTATATTTTATGTTATGTGAATTTCACCTCAATAAGAAAAAAAAATTAGACAGGCATCCACCATTCCTAACGCCCCCTGGCCACTCTCTACCTGGATAATTTGAGAAGCTCCTCCCCTCTTTTTATCTGTGAAACGGGGATAAAATGCATTCTGGAGGCTTCTGGTCAAGACTGTCACAAGTACGCTCTCCATCAGGGTCGGGGCTGTGCAAGGCAGGGACACAGGCAGCCAAACTCAGGCGGGGAGGGGACCAGAGACGCCAGCAGGTGCCTTTGATTTGGGCTCAGTTCATCAGTTTTCATCCAGGAAAGACAATCATGGCTAGAAGGCCAGGAGGGAAGGGAACCTGGAGAATCAGGAGGCGGAGGCAGGGCCCGGCTCCGTCCGCAGGTCCACCTCTTATATGTGCCAGAGGGAAAGTGGTGCTGGCGCTTTATCCAGCGCCCTGAGGAAGAGCTCTGGTTGTGCTGGCCCCGGGGGTGCGGAACGAAGCATAAAGACCGAGACAAAACTGCTCCTTCGTATTTCTGAGATGACATTGCCACACATTTGCACGAAGGAAAAAGGCAGCCTGGGGAATATAGGGGCCACACGGCAGTGGACGGTATCGGTCAATTCTTGGATTAGTGGGGTGCCAGGCACAGGCAGGGAGAAGGTCGGAGTCCCTGCACCGTCCTTCCTGGGGCTCGGCTACGTCTGGTGGGGCAGCCGTCCTGACCGAGGACCCCTGTCCCCACTGACCCCGAGCCCTGCCCTGTAGTAGCCAGGCCCAGACACCCAGGGGCCGAGAAAGCCAGCACGAGGTACGTGAACTGGAGACACAAACCAGCTGGCAGGGCCTGCCGGTGGTGCCGTCTGCACCCCTAAGTGTGCACAGGCCGCTATGGGGCAGGTGGAATCGGGGCCAGTGAGGACAGCCACCACCTGAGAAAAGTCCCAGAGGCCCGCGTGTGCTTCGGGGGGACGGAAAGCAACAAGTTTGCGAATCTGTGCAGATGTGAGTTTCTGGGGTCCATCAAGTCGTCACTCGGGGTCCGTCCCTTTCTGTTTCCCTTTCGCTTCTGTCTTCTCCCCGCACAGGCCCCACCCTGGTGTTTCCATTTAGAGGCTCCGAGCAGCCCGAGGTGCTGGGGGGGGGGGTGTCTGTGAGCACAAAGGCCTTCGGTTCTTACGAAGCGCTCACGTTTCTGCAGCCTTTAACCCGCTGCGGACAAGTCCTCGTCAGGAAGGCTGATGGGAGTTCGATTTCAAATGCTGGACGCGGGAGGAGGCGCGGAGGGGGGCGCCTGGAAACCGGACACCAGGAGGGGCAAGTCCTGGGAAAGAAATGGATTCCCACCCTGTGTCAGAAATGATTAACTGTCTTGCTATCAAAGAATTCACAGATGGCTGGACTTCAGGAATGTCACAAAGAGTCAAAATGCAGCCTTGAACGTGCACTAGGAGGCCCAGACCCGACGGGTGGACTTGCTGAAAGCAGCCCCCCAGGTGGCA